TATCGAGGCAACAACCTGACACTACTCTTAAGGCGACTACCTCGAACATGCCAAACCGTAGAACCTGAATCCGGAAGATATGAGACCCATCCTTAGACTGATACAGGGTCCGACCTGGCAATCGTGTTATCCGCACCTATAATGATGATGATGATAATGATGATGATGATAATGATGATGATGATAATGATGATGATGATAATGATGATAATGATGATGATGATAATGATGATGATGATGATGATGATGATGATAATGATGAAGATGATGATGATGATAATGATGATGATGATGATGATGATGATGATGATGATGATAATGATGATGATGATGATGATAATGATGATGATGATGATGATGATGATGATTCTGCTGCTGACAATTATTAATCAGTAATATGTTGATATTCTTACGTAGAAATTTTCCGCTTTAGCATCTTCGGCGTCTGCTGTTGTGTGGCATTTATCCAGCACCACCTGAAAGCAACCATGACATTTCATCAGAAGTGTGGAGGGGGCAATAAAGTCATTCGCCTCGCACCTGGCCCGGAATAAACACTGACATACGAGCGGAAAATCCTTGAGTTATTGAAATTTATGCGTATTTTAAACATCCACTTTACTCTTCTTTAACTCATCTTACTTTTTACTTTTTTGGTTTTCATAGTTAATGTTCGCTAGTGCTGTGAATTGCCACCGGCTATTTCCTCAGACTCTGCCTGTGTCTGCCCCACCCCATCTCAAACCCGCCATCCCGTCGGTTCATTTCCGAGGCAGCCGATGACAATGAATTCTTATATTATCTGTGAGGGTACATGCAGCACTACAAGCATTACAGGTGTCTGATGCCGGACATGCACATCGCATGGCTAATGCAAGCGATAATTAAATAGCTTGTCCTAATTGCCATTAAATATTGGTATTTCCTCGGGTGATTACGTGGCCAACGGTGTTAATTCGCTAACGTTCGCGGCAGACGTGACGTCATCGGTGACGTGTGGTCACGTGCTTACCGCGGCGACTTCCGGTAGGTGCTGGATCATTCGTCCCATGACGCACAAGTTTCCGCATTTTGCGTTCATGATTTCGTGCCACCTGCAAGCGAGGAGCAATCGTCAGTAAATCTACATCTGCCACCTGAGTATGTGCAGATCCCCTTCCCCTGCTACCCTAACGCTGATAGTAAAGTGTTGTTGTCGGGCTATTAGCGACTAATCGATGATTGAATGATTTATTTATTGACGACGGTTGGTGGAATGTCCGCGTTGATTCATAATTTAGAATGTCGATCGTAGACTATCCATTAAGTGGTAGCTACGTATGTCTGTGTAGGATGGGGTTAGGTTTAGGGTTAAGATATGCATAGGGTGAGGGTTAGGGTTAGGGTTATGGTTAGGGTTAGAGTTAGGGTTAGGGCTGGTGCTAGGGTTAGGGTTAAGGTTAGGGTTAGGGTTAGGATTAGGGTTAGAGTTAGGATTAGGGTTAATGTTACGGTTAGGGTTAGAGTTAGGGTTATGGTTAGAGTCAGGATTAGGTTTAGGACCAGGGTTGGGGTCAGGGTACCTGCAGTTGTTGATGAACGTAGACGCTGTCTCTGCATTCTGCATCTCTACAGCGAGTCCGAGCGCCGTCTGACCTTGATCGTTCATGACCTTCACGCTGGCATTCCTGTCTAACAGATGCTGGACAGCCCTCGACTGTCCATTCTCCGCCGCTAGGTGGAGCGCCGTGTTCTAAACGTATTTATTTTTATTATATTTTATTAAAATATGTTGTTATTAGGGAAATTATATTCATAATATTACTCGTAGTGGCACCTTGGATGTTTTCGCGCGTGATCACGTACAAATGCTTTGGATAAAAAGTAATAAAATTACGCACAAGTGTTGGTAGGTCACATGTACGGCTGCGTGCGTTGCTTACCCCGTCTTTATCGACCTTGTCTAGCAGGTGAGCGTGAACCGCTAGCAGTTGCTTGATCGTCCATGTGTAGCCACTCGCGGCCGCCAGATGGAGCGGCGATCGCCCCGCGTGGTCCCTGCGTGACAACAGTATTGATTACAGCCATCGATCATATAATTGGCAATTGTTATTGCGTGTGTTATCATTATCGTCATCAGACGCCTTTGTCTATTGCATTGTTGGCACGCGCCGTGGGCTCTCATGCTCTAATCACTGCATTCTAAACAACAATGAGGAATTGTGTGTGCTGTAATCGTCAGATCACGTCAAGTATTGTAAATATCATTCAACATCGTGTCTTGGAAAGCAATATGTACTGTAAATATAGTGCATGGCTGACTCGATGACCGCAAGGTCCTTTCGCCATACCCGTGCTTTATATTAACAAAGTTATAACTGTTTAATTTTCCCACTGTTTGATTATCCTCGGAGCACAAATAAAAATCTTGAATCTTAAACAGGTGCTGATTGATTGCAACGTTGGACCGGAATCCATTAACTTTCTATCAGGTATGAATAAAAACTATTAAACGAACAGGTGAAAAGCGCGTTAAATAAAAAACATCTATCCGCAGTACAAAGATATGTTAAAGTTGACATCCTGTGCACGAATAATTGTAATACCGTGATAGAGAGAGGGGAAGGAGGGAAGAAGGGAAACAAACAGACAGTCAGGGGGAAGAGACAGAAACATACAAAAAAGAGGGCAGCGATTATGAATAGATATATGAATAGATAGATGCAGTATAGTATAGTATATAATATTATATAATGTAATAATAATAATAATAATATATATATATATATATTATATTAGTATACATCTACACACCGATGCGCACACAAACTAACACACAAACACACACACACACACACACAGCACACCACACACACACAGCAGCACACACACGCGCTTCACACACACACACACACACACACACACACACACACACACACCAACGCACTGACGCCACACGCACGCGCACACACACACACACACACCACACACACACACGACCACCGCGCGGCGCACACCCACACCACATACACACACAGGAGGCGGAGGAAGAGATAGGTCAAGAGAGAGAGAGAGTCAGAGTCAGAGAGAGAGAGAGAGAGTCAGAGAGAGAGAGAGTGAGAAAAAGAGAGACAGAGAGAGAGTCAGAGAGAGAGAGAGAGAGAGAGAGAGAGAGGAGAGAGGAGGAGAGAGAGAGAGAGAGCAGTACGAGCGAGACAGCGAGAGAGAGGAGGGAGAGCGGTTATATATATTATACCCAGACGATCATCGATCCACCCTTCATTCATCATCATCATCATCATTAGCAGCAGCATTACGTGTGAACGAGCGCTCCTCTCTGCATGAGCAGCTGCACGACCTTGACGTGACCGCCCTCTGCAGCGATGTGCAGCGCTGTGCGGCCACTACCGTCAGTCTCATTCATGATGAACTGACCGCTGCTAGAGTCCAGCAGTCTACGACAGGTGTTCCTCCTCCCATACCTGTACACAGGAGCATGTAATGGTTAATACATACACACGACACGGGAGCATGTAATAGATAATACGGCACGGGAGAATGTAATAGATAATAGATAGATACGGCACAGGAGTATGTAATTGATAATACTGTAGCGGTAGCACCGGACCCTCGGGTTTCTAGCAAGGTGGCTCTCTGGAAACCGGAGTGTGGGTGTTCCGTGTTTGTGACTGTATAATTATTTGTGATGTCTGCTGTCTGTTAGTGTGGGTTTTCCTGGTGTTTTGCCGGCTTATCAATTAACGATGTAGATAGGCGAGTCCCTACATGGGGGCAGCAATGTTGGGTGGGTTAGCCACCCCCTCTAGCGGCCGTGAGTGGCGCGGACCGTGTGAACAGCTAGTGTAGTGCCGTGTGGGGAGACGGTACGCAGTTAGTTCGGCTCGGGAATCGGTTGAGGGAGAACTTGTAGTTCAGTTCGTCCCGGTAGCCGAGTGAGGGAGGACTCGTCAGGTAGTATATGTAGCCGCGTCCACTCCGTGCGTATGCATGGTGTGGAGTGGCCTGTGAGCTGTGTGTGTGGCGGGTATGGTGACAGTTAGCGTACGAGTATACGTGGTGGAGAGGTACTGTACGGTCACGGGTGTTTGTCGGTTAATTGGTAAGTATGCACTGTCGTATTGTCCTGTTGTTGTGGGGCAAGTAAATAATACAGTACTAGTAGTAGTCGAATATTAAATAGGTTGGTTTAATATTCCTAGACTAGAGTACGGGTATTGAGAAGTATTAACTCTCGTGCACGGCTGCACGGGAGGAGAGGCTGCCGGTTACTGTAGGCCTTTGCCCGGCTGCGTTTATAGTTCATTCTATTTGTTTAACCTCTGTGCTTACCCTGGGTATGCACTTGTTATTCAACGTAACGTAAGGCCAGCAGGCAAGGGTGGGGTTACCCCGTTGTGGTGTCTGTGGTGTGCGTCGCCCCTCGTCCGGCATGGTTGACTAGCTCTACGACGCACCGAACCGGAACACGGCGGAACAGGTTATTGCGGGAGTGCAGTAGCACTGAAGTGCTCGAGTGGCTAGAACGGTCCGGGTGGCGACGATACGGCCATTTCAACGCCTCCGGGCACGACAGATGAGTGGAAGACCTAAGGTTGTGTGCTAGTCACTAGGTATTGACCAGTGGCGCCATCGGGTGTCGCCGGGAGATGCGAAACGCTACAATACATAGATACGGCACGGGAGAATGTAACAGATAATACATAGACACGACACGGGAGAATGTAACAGATAATACATAGACACGACACGGGAGAATGTAACAGATAATACATAGACACGACACGGGAGAATGTAACAGATATTACATAGACACGACACGGGAGAATGTAACACACGTAAGTGGAACGTTGTGCAAAATTCACGATTTTATACCCATGTTAGGAATAATCATTCACGACATTTCTGAATAACGAGTAGCCACGCTATTGCCCATGCGCAACATAGTGGGGGCGACTCGTCACGGGGAGGACGTATCCCATGCTAACCTCGCGGCGAAGTGCAGCGGTGATTGGTCGTCCTTGTCCTTGAGGTTCACTTGCGCCCCCAAGCGGATGAGGTTCTCTAAGCTCTTGAGGTGGCCAGCCCTGGAGGCGTAGTGTAGCGGCGTGCAGCCGGTAGCGTCACGCTCGTTCAGAAAACACTCGCACAGCTTCTTGTCCGAGAAGTCTTCTTTCTATGACAACGAGGCAATGAGATAAACATTGGAGTCACGGCGTGACACACAGCAGACACACGCGCGCACACACACACACACGCGCGCGCGCACACACACGCACACACACACGCGCGCGCGTACACACACATAAATAAAAAAATAGAAAAATAAAAATATATATTCACCGTCATGTGCTTAGAGGACATTACGAGACAGTCTACGTTACATAGATTTTTTCACACCTTTCCCCACCCTCCCCACCCTCCTCCATCCCACCTTCCCCCACCCTCTGTACCCTCCCACAGCTCACGCGTAGCAGTATGACGGCCAGCGCATCTATGTCGCCACCGTTCATGACGACGAAGTGCAGTATGTTGCGATTCTGGTCGTCCTTCTCGTTCAGCCGACAGCCTCTGTCTATGAGCGCGGTGACGGCGCGCCACGCGCTGCGAGAGGCCGCCAGCAGCACCGCCGACCGACCCTCCTTATCCCTGGCGTCGATGTTGGACCCCTGGCGGCGAAAAATTGAAATTAAGGGAGATCACGTGGCATACGATTTCTTATGTATCGATATTGGTCGATATTGCGATTTTTATATCCATTTGATGTATATCAATTGATTACGAGTGCATACGACAGCTAACGATAATTTCACGAATTGATACATAGATGGCAGCACTATGATGGAGATACACGCGGTCAATTCATTACAAAATCGCGTGCAAATGTGTCTAAAACACAGGCCGTCTACTCAACGTCCTCAACCACCTGTCTCCAGCAGATACTGAACAATGCCGACATGACCAAACATGGCGCCGTGATCGCACCTGTTCCAGCAGATACTGAACAATGCCGACATGATCAAACATGGCGCCGTGATCGCACCTGTTCCAGCAGATACTGAACAATGCCGACATGATCAAACATGGCGCCGTGAACGCACCTGATCCAGCAGATACTGAACAATGTCGACATGATCAAACATGGCGCCGTGATGCAGTGGCGTCATCTGCTGGACATCTTGCATGTGTAGAACGGATGCGGCGTTCTTAGGCTGGCTGTCAAGCATCATCTTGATGATGTCGAAAGAACCTTGCGCACAGGCAAGGTGCACGGGCGTGGAGTCGTCGTCCTGTGTGTGATTACAAACAATGCTTAGTGTCCTTGGAGAGGCAACTGTACATATATCTATATATTATATCTATATATAATATATATATATATGTATATACGTGGGTGTGTGGGGGTGTATTGTGAGCGTTACCTGTCGTTGTCACCTGTCTCATGTATACCTACCTGACGTTGTCACCTGTCTCATGTAGACCTACCTGACGTCGTCACCTGTCTCAGGTAGACCTACCTGACGTTGTCACCTGTCTCAGGTAGACCTACCTGACGCTGTAACCTGTCTCAGGTAGACCTACCTGACGTTGTCACCTGTCTCATGTAGACCTACCTGACGTTGTCACCTGTCTAAAGTAGACCTACCTGTCGTTGTCACCTGTCTCAGGTAGACCTACCTGACGCTGTAACCTGTCTCAGGTAGACCTACCTGACGTTGTCACCTGTCTCATGTAGACCTACCTGACGTTTTCATCTGTCTAAAGTAGACCTACCTGTCGTTGTCACCTGTCTCAGGTAGACGCACCTGACGTTGCCACCTGTCTCAGGTAGACCTACCTGACGCTGTCACCTGTCTCATGTAGGCTTATCTGACGTTGTCACCTGTCTCATGTAGACCTACCTGACGTTGTCACCTGTCTCAGGTAGACCTACCTGACGTTGTCACCTGTCTCAGGTAGACCTACCTGTTGTTGTCACCTGTCTCATGTAGACCTACCTGACGTTGTCACATGTCTCAGGTAGACCTACCTGTTGTTGTCACCTGTCTCATGTAGACCTACCTGACGTTGTCACATGTCTCATGTAGACGCACCTGACGTTGTCACCTGTCTCAGGTACACGCACCTGTCGTTGTCACCTGTCTCAGGTACACGTACCTGT